CAAAAAGCTGGAATGGAAACTTCAAAACCAGAAAGAGAGAGGGGGGAGGTGTGTGTGTGTGAGGGGGTCTTCTACACTTGATCTCTCATATTTCCTTTTCAAACCTAAATGGAAACTATCAAGCAATTAAATGTTGTTGAGGGACAAACCAAGAGATCTCGAAAATCCCAGAGACATACAAGTCTTAGAATGAGTTTGCCAAGTACTCCAAAGGTACCAAATCCTGACTACAAATGGAATGATTAGTTTTTGTTTTTTGGATTTTTTTATTTAATGTTTTATTTATTTCTAGGAGAGAGAGAGAGAGACAGCGTGAGCAGGGGAGGGTCAGAGAGAGAGGGAGTCACAGACTGAAACAGGCTCCAGGCTCTGAGCTGGCTGTCAGCACAGAGCCCGACGCGGGGCTCGAACCCACGAACCGCGAGATCATGACCCAAGCGAAAGTCGGACGCTTAACCGACTAAGCCACCCAGGCACCCCTAGAATGATTAGTTTTTTAACACTAGGAAGATATTTAAATTCTTTGACAAGAGGAAAGAAGAAAAGATTTGTATAGATGCATACAAATTTGTAGATTATGTTATAGGAGGTTGAAGCTCTTTTCTATGCATAGCTTTTCTGATCCTTCATGAATGAAGCTGCAAGATTGTTTGTTGAGAGGGAAGAAACGGTGGGTTTGGTATTTGGGTAGATTGAGTTATGATGTATTATTAATAACATTGACATAAATATTGAATGCAATATTCCACAAAGCCCAGATCTTTGGAATAAGCAATAACTACCTAATCATTTTAGATAATTTTGAAGGATAAAATAGTGAGGCAAAATCAAAATAATAGGGTGTGTTAGATTATATTTTTGTGCCCTTATGAAATGAGATTTTCTTTTCCCGCTTGACCTAAATAACTAAGAAAATATTTTTATTTATATGTTACACAATCTTCTTGTTTTCCAGAATCATCTTCAAAAAGACATTCTACTCCATGCTAATTATAATGTACTAGAATAAATATTTACATATAATGTTGCTAATTTTCCAGAAGCAAATTATGGCAGATATTTCTGAAGTCAGAGAGATGACAAGTTGCCTGGTTTAACTGTTCACAAATACTGAAGTATGAAAAGAGGAATTTTATAGAGGAATTTTGGAATTATCTTAAGGTGCAATCTCAGAGGAAAAGAGTCTTAACAAAGGACTATGCTTAAATAAAAGGACCTGAACTTGGAAAATGCTTTCCAATGCCGACTCATTCACTTTTTCCAGTACCTTCTATTTCTATAACTTTCAATTTAAGTAATGTGATATATCACTTGTGGATGACATTCATAATTCTGATAAATGAATAATCTTTAACATCTATACATCCACAGCTTTCCACTTTTCAGCTGCTAATTAGATTTTACTTATAACTACATTAATCTGAACCTGAATTTGAATAAGTAAGTGGCAAAATTAACGTGATTTTGAGTCCAGAGGATAATTTTTAAATGATCATCATGCTCAAATTTTCATAAAGAGGAGTATAGCTGTTTCATTAACCTGGCCATCAGGTTGTTGTTTCTTTTCTTTGTTATTTTTGTCTTAATTGCCTTCACTGTACAATATTTTGTTTACTGTTTTTAATCTTTTTTTTTCTTTTCTTTTTTCTTTTCTTTTCTTTTCTTTCTTTTCTTTTCTTTTCTTTTCTTTCTTTTCTTTTCTTTTCTTTTCTTTTCTTTTCTTTTCTTTTCTTTTCTTTTCTTTCTTTTCTTTTCTTTTTCTTTTTCTTTTTTTTTTAGGCCTGGAGTGTGTAGGAACAGTGAGAAGGTCAGAGTGACCAACACAGTAAAGGCCAAGAGTAGGGGATGAGGTTTGGTTTGGTAGGTTTCAGACCCAGTCGGTCAGTAAGGATTATAAGGATCCATTATATTCTGAATGGATTGGGAAGCCATGGGAACAACTTGAGCCTCAGAGTTACTTGACCTGAATTACTTTTAAAATTCTTTGATTGCTATTTTGGAAGAGGGACTACAGAGCTACTTGGAGAAGCAGGCCTCGTTGGCAGCCACTAAAATAACTAATGTGAGAGACCATGGTGGTGTTTGATCAGGACACTAGTGGTGCAGGTAGAGAAGTGGTTGGATTTATTGTAGATTTTGAAGGCAAAATTGAATTATTTTGATTTTAGTTTGGATATGACACATCAGAGAAAGAAAGGAGTTAGAAATAAATCCAGTATGTTTGGCCTGATCAAAGGAAAAATTGGAGCTGATCCTTCCTAAGATAGCAAAGACTGGAAGAGAAATAGGTTTCAGGGAAGTTCTTAACTTGTCTTTGTGATGTTTTACGTTTTGGATACCTACAGAAGTGACAAGTAGGAAGTTGAACTGACGGGAGACTTGCAAGATGGAACTAGACATTTGGACATTGTCAGGATTTTGACCAGCGTGCAGGGCTGTGGGTGCACATCAGCCATCCAAAGGCATAAGAACCGAGCTTTGAGACACCCCAACATCTGGCTATATTTTCCAACTTTTCTCATAAATTCTTCTAAAGGGAAGGATTACTAGATGCATTTAAATTTTTCTTTTATTGTTCTTTTTTCTTTGAAATTTTGAAGTTGCTCTCTTCTTGATTTACGAGTGCAATATAATATTCATTTCCCCCCAAAGATAGTGATTATATTTTTAATAACATTTACTTTCATATCTTAAATTATACCATTTATCTTTTTTTCCTGGCAGACATTTTATTTTACAATCTTGGCTGCTTTTTTATGTTATTGGTTTCTTCACATGTCCAGAGATCCATGATTTTCCATTGTCAATGAAAAATGAAACTGGAGTTATTTTAGGTAATTAGTGTGGATTTCCTATACTGTTGTGTATGAAAATTCATTTTCTTGCCTTCTCCTTTGAGTGGCAAGTTTGATTGAAAGTTCTGTTGACAATGAGAAGGCTTATTGATTGACCTAATTCCCTGAGAATTAATGGACCAGATTTCAGAAGTTAAGCTAAGGGCATTCAATTACTGGAATGAGTTGGATTTTTACTTTAGTGAACTTGACCCAAAACCTGTTACTTTGATTTAACCCTTTCAATCCATTATTTTCTTAAGCAAAGTGACTTATTTTATTTTATTTTTAATTTAATTTTGGCCAGAGATTAATGCCACGTTGTCTATTTACATGAAAGTGAGGTGAACCATGCATAGACAGACTTGTACTGAACTCCGTGGTATTGTGTCCTCGTCCACATTTGCCTTCCGTGGGGAGTTCTCCATGTTACTAACTCTGAACATGGAACCTCTCTGTACTTTGTAAATCAACCCCCTAACTACATTGTAGCTCATTTCTAGTCTATGTCTATAAACTGTTTGCCTCTCAGTAAACTATTCCAGTGGCTTTCAGCTTTATAATTATAGATGTAGTAACTGGTTTGTGATTAAGAACTCTAGTAATGAATTTGGCAAGAACACTCTTAAAATTTGCTTCTTCCATTCCTAGCTTTGTGATTTGGGAAAGTTGCTTAAGCCTAGTAAAAATATCGTTTATTTTTCTTTAAGGTAAGGCTAATAATAATACCTAACACATAGGATTACTCTAGAATTAACTAAGGAAATATATATCAAGTCCAGTTCCTAGAGACTAACACATACTTAATATTTTTATTAACAATGATAATATTATGAGTAATGTTATTTTTAATTTTAAATAGGTAGTATAATGTTTGCTTTTATTTTCTAACATATAGTGGGATTGCATACAAATTATATAATATAAATTCTGAAAACATTTACCTACTTGTTTTAGGGAAAATATAAATTAGAACAATGTTATATGTGTATTAGACATACAGATGTGTTAAATTTTGTATTTCTGTTGAAAACTATAAGAACAACTGTGGAGAAAATTTACTATATATTTACAGGATTTTTCTCACTTTTGTATGTTTCTCTTTATAGACTATTTTTTGAGCAGTTTTAGATTCACAGCATAATTGAATGGAAGGTACATATAATTGCCATATGCCACCTGTCTCACTTAAGCATCCCTCTTCCACTATCGATGTCCTCCTCCAGAGGGGCACATTTGTTACAAATGATGAACCTGTATTGACACATCACTATCACCCAAGTCCGGAGTTTACCTCAGAGTGTACTCTCAGTGTTGTACACCCTCTGGGTTTCGACAAGTGCGTAACGATATGTGTCCACCAACATCATCCCAAATAGTTTCATTGCCCTAAAAATCTCTGTGCTCCATCTGTTCATCCCTTCCTACCTACAACCCTGAAAACCACCAGTTTTACATTGTCTCCATGGGCTCCCTTTTTCAGAATGTCACATAATTATAATTATACAGTAAGTAGCCTTTTCACATGGGCTTCTTTCACTCTGGAATATGCATTTAAGTTTCCACCATGTCTTTTCATGGCTTGAGTGCTCATTTCTTTTTTTGTGCTGAATAATATTCCATTATCTGGATATGCCACTCTTATGTAGCAGCTCCATATTGCATTTTATTGGCATCTTTTATAAATATGTTTTTACTAATTCTAGCATTATAAAGATGTATTTTTTCCATTGCCCAAGTTTGTCTCTGTTGTAATCTATACACTCGTTAGACTTCATAGAAAGTAGGCATTAAGTAGAGTCACAAAGGGTACTGTGTTACAAATACTCAAGACTATTAAATCAGTGTTAATTGGATTCACTTAGAATCCAGTTGGTCAATTATCAGGAATATGTAAGCAAGTTTTATCCAGTTTTCAAATGATGAATTTAGATTGCTAAAGCTTTGCTGATTTGTTTTTGAACAACTTAGGATTTTTCAAATACAAATAAAGAAATAAATATTTTAACTACATTATCAAAACAACAGTAAAACCTGCCGGAATCCACATAGAAAACAAACAAACAAAAACTAAACTAAAAGTAAAATGAAAACTAATGTGGATTATACTGGAGCCAGCCTTTGGAGCCTCATGTATTTATAATTTTAACTTCTGTCTTTTTTCAGTTTAACATTATTCCTGGTCAACATGAAAGTGAAATGAAAGAAATATTGAGAGATATAAAAGAAGAGTCAAAATGTCAAACCAGCAAGGATAGAATGATCTACGAGTTAAGAGTTGAGGTAAGGTATTGGATAAGGATTATAATACCAAAATATACCTGATTTTATTAAGTGATATACTATTTTAAGAAGTATAGCTGAGGCATCTTTGGTTACTTTTTGAAGAACAATGCTGCTGAAAATCAAAAATAATATAATCAGTTTATATGTGGTTTAAAAATACTGCAAGATGACACTGACTCATTACTAGATTGGAATTACTTGACTTTCATAAAGGCAGAATATTTGATTTAAAAAAAACCTTTAGAAAAAAAATTTTTAAATTAAAAAAAACCTTTAGAGACTCTTGAATGCTGAGAACAAACTGAGGGCTGATGGAGGTGGGGGGAGGGGATGGGGGGTGATGGGCATGGAGGAGGGAACTTGTGGGGATGAGCACTGGGTGTTATATGGAAACCAACTTGACAATAAACTATATAAGAAAAAAACAAAAAAATAAAATAAAAATGAAAAAATCTTTAGAGCCAATACAATTCTAACTGTGGGTTAAAACTTATTAAATGTTCGGTAGGCTTCTGGATCTCATGTGTCAGGACCAGTGACACACAAAGTGTGTTGCACGTAGTGGAATTAATGTAGCTTTTGGCAGCTAGCGACAGTGTGAGGCGGGCAGGGTGACCTCACTTTTGTTGGTTACTTCATTTCTTAGGTATGCCCAGTGAAATGGTGAAAACATTTATTTTCAACACTTCTACCACCACCACCACCAAAAGAATTTTCACAGATTGTAAACTCTGTTTTTTCTATGTCATGTTAACAAAGGAGGAAATATTTAGGGGATTGAATTATTTGCACTGCATAGAAAATTGTGTAGTGCACTAAAAGTGATAAATCATAAATTACTTATTTTGTATCGTAATTCTGGAAGAATGTCTTGGATACCAAAGTGTGGGAGCAATTCAGAAAATACAGGCTGGGAGGAAGGGGATTTGTATTAGGTGGTTTCTCTTCATAAAACTCTGTAAAGACTGAGCTCATACCATAGTATATTTTATATCAGATGAACATAGTGCAGTGGAAAATGAATAACTCATAGATTTTGGAGCTTGAAGTGGCTCCATCGCTGATTACTTTATTCTGGTCAACTCCTTATGCCTCTCTCTCTAGGTCTCAGTTTACAGATGAAAATAATGGAAATAAGAATAATAAAAGTTATCACACAGGATTTTTGAAAAGATCACACACTACAAAGGAAAACTTGTTGGAGACAGCTTGCCCTAATTTGGGGAGTTGCCACTAAATTGTTCAGGAGAAAGAGCTCTTCCCGATTGCATCAGTGCCATCCCTCACCACCTCTTCCCCGAGTCATAAAGGGGGCTTGGGAAAGGGGAAGACAGATGGAGAGAGCCAAGATGAGAAATGCCGATGTGTTGAGGATAATTCTTCCTACCAGTTAGGTCAAAGGGGAAAATGGTGGTTTCTATGATGATTGTTTTCTAAGAGGAATCAAACCATCAGGAGAAACACCACTTTTTCTTGGCCCTGAAATCAGAGAAGCATCGTAGATTAAGCTTTTGTGCAACATGTATAAAAGCCTACTCAGCAGTTAGAGACAAAAACAGAAAAAGACACATCTGGCTGTTTATTGTAAGCCTCCTCAAAGGCCAAGGACATGATCTTATATCATCATTTTCAGATGCACTGGGAGCCATTGCAATATAGGATCTCTGATATACAACTTTTTTAGTTTGATTTGGTGAAAAGTTCTAAGACTCATTTATTAGTCATGTGGCCTTGAGTAAGCTTTTTCATATCTATACAACCCAAATGTGATACAAACAGTTTACGCAGCTACAGGTAATCTTCCACAAGACATTCAAGTACTATGATAAATGATGTTATGGTTTAAAATTCTTGGTAAAGCACTGAAAGCTGAAAGCAAATGAAAGACATGAATTGGCTATGTTTGTGCACGTGAGTGGTATATACAATTGAATTAAATTACAGAAAGAAAGCTTTGTTCAAAAGAAAACAAATAGGGGCGCCTGGGTGGCCGAACCCGTTGAGTACCAGTCTGAGTTTCAGGTCAGGTCATGACCTCAACGTTCATGAAATGGAGCTCTGTGTCCAGCTCCACACTGACAGTACGGAGTCTCCTGGGGATTTTCTCTCTGTCCCTCTCTCTCTGCCTCTCCCCTGCTTGTACTCTCTTTCTCTCTCTCTCTATTTCTCAAAATAAATTTTAAAAATTTAAAAAAAAGAAAAAGAAAATACTGAGACAGATTCTTAATACAAATGACAAGTTTCTGTGTGTGTATGTTTGTGTGTGGATGTGTAAGTGTATGTTATATATGTGAGTGTATTTGTGTTCATTTAAGTCTTAAATTAGGATAAAAGCTACTTTCTTTCCTTAGAAAAGAAGATACATAACCACCCTTTGTTGGCATCATTGTACATTTTACATTGGCTGTGTTTAGGTCTCTAATATCATATCATAATATGGAATATGTTTTTATAAAGGTCATTGTGTGACTGTACACAATTAAAGTATAAACTATTTTTAAAAATCAGGATTTTTTAGACATATAACCAATATTGTAGTATGTATGTGCACATATGTCTTTGGGTATTTAAAAATGGCTTAAATTCCTAGAAATGGTATGCCTTAGGCAAGAGAATGTTTAGTTTTTAAGTCTTTTATACACTTTGCCAAGTTGTCTTTAGAAAAACATTGTCTCAATTCACATTCTCACCCACATGCAGAGTCTAAGCACACTCATCTCATTAGTCTATAGTCAAGAGTGTATATTATTATTTTTAATATTTTCATAAGTGATTTTGAAATTGCCATTTTAATTTGCATTTTACTTGTCTAAACATAAATTTCTGGTGGTTTGCTCATTTTTCAGATATAGTATTTTTATAATAGCTACCATTTACTGATAACTTCAAAGATGTCATATGTATAATGCTGGACCATTGAATTTTAAGATCTCATTTAATATTAAATATTTTAACTATTCTTTTTTAATTTTAATTTTGTCATTTTAAAAATTTTAATTCCAGTATAGTAACATACTTTTTTGAATGAAATACTTTTGTTTTATGATCTATATATATTCTTGTCTAGTTTTAAAGGAAACAACCTTAAGTTTGTTTAGGTAAAGTTATAAAATCGCCTCAAAACATTGTTGAAATAATCGTTTAGTTCCAGTTTTTCAGAGGTGTGCACTCAGATTCAGACTGTTAGCAAGTTAGGCCACTTACCAAGGCCACATAGCTAATGAGTTTTAATCTAGAAACCAAATGCCAACAGCTGGTATTCAACATTGCTGTTCTGGTCTATCACCCTTTGAGTCTGCTGGAGAAACGTAACAGATTTTCAAACAATATTGTTCGAATTGAGGGAAAAATAGTATTTGAATATCAAGCATCACAATTGTTTAACATTGATGATCCCCATTTACGATGGACAACTTTTAAAACTGTTACTAACAGACTCAGCAATTTGATAATAGTATTGCCCTCACTTGACCAGTGTGTCCTAGTTATTTCTTGAACTGCCCAATTTTTTCAGAAGTAAGCTTCTCATTGTAGAAATTTGGTCAAAGAAGTTCAAAATGGAGTATTGGCAAAAAAAGCCCCAGAGTATTTACATAATTGGCTCTTCTGGCCAATGTGTTAAGGCGGTGAATTCTCTGAGCACAAAGTCATTGGATAAATGAATAGTTCTCAATAAATGCATATGCATAACAAATACATTTAATTTTTTTCTCCATATTTAAGATCAAGGTCCCTCAAACTGGAAATGAAAAAAATGTTTTATTTATTTGTTATTGAGAGGGAGAGAGAGAGAGGGAGAGGGAGGAGAGAGAGAATGCATTGTATGGGGGGAAAGGGCAGAGAGAGAGAAGGAAAGAGAGAATCCCAAGCAGGCTCCATACACACAGGGCTGGATCTCATGAAAGATGAGATCATGACCTGAGACAAAATCAAGAATGACGCTAAACCAACTGAGCCATCACGTGCCGCCAAGAGGAATTTTGCTTAAAATGGAAATTAACTAGCATTTTGAATCAAGAAGTCACTATTTCTTTCTACAATCCAGCTGCTGCTTGGATACTGTCTTATAGTAAGTGTACTTACCAGTTTGCAGCTCAAGTAGGTTTCCTCAGATTTTTGTGTCAAGGCAGGGGAAAATCTAAAGAACAGAAAAATGTTTTTATTCTATGTTAAAAAAAAGAAAAAATATTTTCAAGGTGTTTTCTTAAATTATAGTTCAGTCTTTAATTCTGTATATACTCTATGGTGGAATGGGATCTAGTACATTCCTGACTGCTGTGTAATTTGGAAATGGACCTGCCCGAGACACCTGCCTTCAGTGAAGGATGTAGAATTCATCCAGAATTATAGTTAAGTGCATGTTTTAGGCTGGGTGAGAACTATGTAGCGGATTTGGATGATGCTGGGGGAGTTGACCTAGTTACAACTTTTAAATGAAAAGTTGCCTGGGATTTTAGTTACTGCCAGAGCTAAATAGTATTATCTTTGACTGGCAGGGAGTTGTATAATTAGAAATTCAGTGCCATCATAACTCAGTTTTCTGAGATTCTCACAATAGCTGGTAATCTAATTTGATTTAAATCTCTTGTACCTCACACCTCTTACTGACTTTATATGTTGTAGCAAAGTGGGTTAGATTACTGAGAATACTCTAAATGTATCAGAAATAATTATATAATTTCGAAACAGGATACTGATGGTGGAAAGCAAGTCAATTTAGGAGTCTATTAGTGATATGGATTTGAGCATTCTGGCACATTCTGGGCTTATATTGACAGACCTCAGGGAACAGAATCTCTAAAGAGAAATTTGATATGAGTAAACCACTAGAGAAAAATAATATTCTGGGAAAACTGAAAATTAAACTGTCACACATGGATATGTTTTCTGCTTATTTAGACAAATACAAGTCTAAATAGTCCAATTATCCAAGACCAAAACTGTCACTTGTCTTCCATTTACATAAGAATGATGAATATAAAATTGAACAACAAATG